TGTGTGTGTGTGGGGATGGCTTTGTGCTGTGGCTAGATTGCAGCTATGTGACCTGCATGGGAGCAGAGGGAGCTGCATGGGAACTGATTAGGTGACTCTGGTCCCCGATTGAGAGCCTTGTGCACTAGCTCTGCGGGCTTTGGGTCTGGAGTCTGCAGTCTCACTGGAACCCAGAGGCTCTGATTTCTGTGCACGTGGTCCAGCTCTGGTGGTTTCTGGGAAAATCCGCTGTGTAGGGGTCCTGTCATATGCTCTGAGATGTTGTATTCCATCTAGGTGAGACCTTGCGGAGACATCGCCTGACTGCTTTCTTGGTTTAATTCCACACAGCAGCCAGAAACTGTACCTCCTCTATTCTGCCATCTTGGATACCCTCTGGAAGTATACTTCTTAAACAGGTGATACCTATCAGCTGAGTAGTGTGAGCCACCAGCCACCATTTTATCAGTGGTGAGGGATGAGGTCCTTGATCTGAGACATCTTTTGGGTAAATGCATCAGAGTAAAATTGCTTGTTCACAGGTCAATGTATGATTAACTTTTTAAAAAAGTCAATGATTTTCTGAATTAGTTTTACCATTTTGCATCCCAGCAGTAAAGCATCAGAGTGCCAATTGTTTGACATCTTCACTGACTTTGTGCTTGGTGATTGTTTTAATATTGTCACTTCCAAGGAAGTGTGAAATAGTACCTTACCTGTAGTTTTCATTTCATTTTTTTTTTTTTTGAAGTTCTCCTCTTAGGTCTTACCCCCTTTTAAACTTGATTGCTTGTCTTTTTTTTTACCGTTAATTCATCATGCTAGATACAAGACTTAGCAATATAAAAGTAATGTGAATATTTTCTCCCTGTCTGTGGCTTTACTTAATGGTGTCTTTTGATGAGCAGATTTAAATTTTGATGAATTTCATTTTTAAAATCATTTATGATTAGTGCTTCCTAGATCTTAATAAAAAAAATCTTTGCTTATCTCAAAGTCATGATCATATTCTACTATATTTCTACAAGAACCTTTATGGCTTCAGATTTAATGCTTTAAGCATATGGTCCATTTAAATTAATGTGCATGCATCCTAGAAGGAAGGTGAAAGATCACACTCCTTTATTAGGATCACCCATTATTCCAGCATTCTTTACTGAAAAGATTTTTCTTCCTTTCTAGAATTATTTGGTACCATGTCAGAATCAGTTAACCATGAGTCTTGTTTCTGGTCTGGGTTGTATGCCAGGGATCTAGTTATCTCTATATCAGTGCCACACTAACTTAATATGCATAGTTTCATAGTAAATCTTAGCACCATATGGTTTAAGTCCCCCAGCCCTGTTTTCCTGTTTCAGATTTGTTTTTGTAATTATAGGTCTTTTGTATGCCCATTAAGTTTTAGAATCACCAATCAATTTCTAAAAACAAAACAGAATGAAATGAAGCAAAACCAAAAATCTGCTGTGATTTTGATTATGACCATTTTGATAGAAATTTGCTTCAGGTAGAGGATCTCTTTCTGACATGCTTGGGACCAGACCTAGTTCAGATATGGATTTTCTTGTTTAAATTACAGAATATTTGCATCTACATAACAAATGTCTTGGAAATAGAGCCCAAATCTAAACACAAAATTCATTTGTGATTCACAGACACCTTACACACAAAGCCAAAGGGAATTTTATACAATATTTTAAAATAATTTTGTGCATGAAGCAACATTACAAGGTGTGGAATTTTCACTCATCACATCATGTTGGCATCAAAAAGTTTTATATTTTGGCCTAGGATTTTTAGATTAGGGATGCTCAAACTGTTGTGTCTTGTCTTTTTTTTAAGTCGTCTTCTTAGAAGCTGTATCAATTTTTGTAAATCTCTTCAAAGCACCAAGTATTTATTGTGTTGATTTTCTATGTCATTTTCTTTTTTCTTTCTTTCTTTCTTTTTTTTTTTTTTTGATTACTGCCTACTTTTGTTATGACATCTTTACCAAACTTCTCTGGGAACTGCAATGTGCTTCTTATCACAGTTTATTTAGGATTAATATTAGGCTATTTTACCTACTGTGCAAGAAGCCTACAACTGTGTAATTCCATTTATCCTCTTGCCTTTCTTGAATATATTTTACCTCTACATACTTTTGACAGTTGTTTTTTATTTCCCTCCATATTTACTATTTCTGAGGCTCTTTTTCTTTCCTGTAGATGCAATTTAGCATCTGGTATCGTTTCCTTTCAGCCCAAAAAGCATATTTTTCATATATACCATAGTTCAGGTCTTTTGGTAACAAATTTCCTGTTTTCTTCTTATTTGAAACATCTTTATTTCACTCTTATTTTTGAAGGGTTTGGTTCCTGCCTGTAGAATTACCACCATCCCCCCTTTTGAGCAAAAGATGTTCCACTGTCTTCTGACCTTAATAAAACAAATTACAGAATGATTCTTTTTGATTGGCAGTTAATGATCATTGGTGTCATTGCTACCTGTATGTCTATTCTTCATTGAACATTTGGTCACTTTATCAGGAAGTCAGTATCTCATTATTGTTTGTTTAGTCTCCCTGTTGGAGACATTTCTCTGTTGATGTTGCTTCTACCACTTATTTCAGTATGTCCCCATTATTAGATAAGTATCATCCATATATATATATATATATATATATATATATATATA